CAGACCAATAATAAGCAATGAGAGTGAGGCAGCAGTAAAAAACCGCTCAGTGACAACAAGGACAAAAAGTACAGACAAGACAGATTCATAGCCAAATTCTACTAGACCTATAAAAAAGAACAGGCATCTATCCTATAGAAACTATTCCATTGGTTTAGTTTGCAAAGAGGGAATCCTTCCTATCTCATTTTACAAAGGTAGTATCACCCTGAAAGCAAAGCCAGGAAAGGATATAACAACAACAAAAACCTACAGACCAATATCCCTCATGAATATAAATGCAAAAATCTTCAGCAAAATACCAGCAAACTGAATTCAACAGCACATCAAAAAGATAATTCACCATTAGCAAACATCTTTCATCCCAGGCATGCAAGGATGGTTCAACATATGGAAATCAATAAACATGATTCATCATATAAACAGCAGCAAAAACAAAGACCATATGGTAATCTCGAAACTCAGCACCCTTTCATGATGAAAACCCTCAACAAGCTAGGTGTAGGAGGAACATACCTCAAAATTATAAAAGCCAAACCACAGCTAACATCATGATGAATGGGGAAAAGTTGAAAGCCTTCCCCCCTGAGAACTAGACTAAGACCAGGGTGCCCACAGTCACCACTTTTATTCAACAGAATAGAAGTACTGGAAATCCTAGCCAGAGCAATCAAGCAAGAGAAAGAAATAAAGAGCACCCAAATTGGGAAAGAAGAAGTCAGCCACCCCTCTTTGCTGTTGATATAATCGTATATCCTGAAAATTCCAAGGATACCACCAAGAGATTCAGATTTGACAAATAAATTCAGCAAAGTTGAGGCCAGGTATGGTTTCTCACACCTGCAATCCTAGCACTCTGGGAGGCCAAGGCAGATGGATTGCCTGAGCTCACAGGTTCAAGACCAGGCTGAGCAAGAGCGAGACCCCATCTTTAAAAATAGCCAGGCGCTGTGGTAGTCCCAGCTGAGTCTCAGCCTGCTCAGGAGGTAGAGGCAAGAGAATTGCTTGAGGCAAGAGAATTGCTTGAGCCCAAGAGTTTGAGGTTGCTGTGAGCTATGATGCCTTGGCACTCTACTGAGGGCATAAAATGAGATTGTGTCTCAAAAAAAAAAAATTCAGCAGTCTCAGGTTACAAGTTCGATATACACTAATCAGCATTTCTGTATACCAGTAATTTTCAAGCTGAGAGTCAAATTATGGACTCAATGCCATCCACAATAGTTACAAAGAAAATAAAATACCTAGGAATATACTTATCCAAGGAAATGAAAGATCTCTACAAGGAGAACTGTAAAATACTGATGAAAGAAATCACAGATGACACGAACAAATGGAAAAACATTCCGTGCTTATGGACTGGCACATAACATTTAACAACATCGTTAAAGTGATTTGCTATCCAGAGTGATTGCGTAGTCAATGAAATCATCAAAATACCAATGTCATATTTCACAGATGTAGAAAAAATAATTCTAAGCTTCATTTGGGAGAAAAAAATAGCCCAAATAGCCAAAGCAATCTTAAATAAAAAGAACAAATTTGGAGGCATCACATTACCTGACTTCAAATTATACTACAAGACTATAGTAACTAATACAGCATGGTACTGGTATAAAAATAGAGACATAGACAAATGGAACAGAATGGAGACCCAGAAATACAACCATACAGCTATGACCAAGTGATTTTCAACAAAGCAGACAACAACATACACTGGGGAAGGAAGCTCTGTTCAATAATGGTGCTGAAAAAACTGGATAGTCACATGCAGAAGAATGAAACAGGGCCCCTCTCATCTCTCACCACAGACAAATATTAATTCAAAGTGGATAAAAGACTTAAACGTAAGGCATGAAACTAAAAATCCTAGAAGAAAACACAGGAAAAACTATTCCAGATATAGGCCAAGGCAAAGAAGTTTTGAGTAAAATCCTGAAGGCGAATACAGCAACAACAAAAGTAAATAAATGGCACTTAATTAAATTAAAAATCTTCTACACAGCAAAGGAAATCATCATCAAAGGACAACCTTCAGAATGATAGAAAATATTTGCAAACTATACATCCAACCAAGGACTAATATTCTACAAAGAAGTCAGACAAACCATCAAGAAAAAATCCTGCCT